TATGGTTATTGTATAAGGGTAATATTAGACTCAATAAATATGTTGAAAAGTGTTTCTTCCTCTTCCATTTTTTGGAAGAGTATCTGAATGATTAGTATCAGGCTTTAAACAGTTGATAGAATTTACCAGTGAAGTCGTCTGGGCTTGGACTTCATTTTGTAGGAAGTTTTTAAACTATTACTTCAATCAGTTTACTTGTTATAGGTCTATTTAAATTTTCTGTGGCTTCTTGAGCTTTTTTATAATTTTTTATAATCTTTCTAGGAATTTGCTTATTTCACTCAGGTTATCTAATTTGTTGGCTTACATATATTCATATTTGTGATAGTTTGTTGTCTGTTTCTGTAACAAAATACCTGAATTAATCAACTCATGAAGAGAAAAGATGCATTGTGGTTCATGGTTTTGGAGGTTTCAGTCCATGTTCCAATGGCCTTCTTGCTTTGGGGCCTCTGGCAAGGCAGCACATCATGGTGGGAGTACATAGTAGTACAAATTAAACCCAAAGCAAACAGAGGAGGGAATTTGAGAAATTTGAATATTCAAGTTAAAATAAGTGCAATAGAAATAGAAAAACAATATAGAAAAATCAATAAATCCAAGTTATTCTTTGAAATATTCAGTAAGTTGAAAATCTCTAGTGATTTTTTTTGTCTTTTCTTTTATTAAAAGGCTATTTTTAAAGACAGTTTTAGCTATCTGATATCACAATCAAGAAGACAGTACAAATATTTCTATATACCTCATAGTCAGTTTTCTCTATCATTAACATCTTTTTTGTTTTATTTTATTTTATTTATTCTCCTTAGTTTTATATGACAGTAGAATCCATTTTAATAAATGTATAGAAGCATAGTATATATCTTATCTAATTAGAACCCCATTGTGCTGAGTGAAATAAGCCAATCCCAAAAAAACCAAAGATCAAATTTTTCCACTGATATGTGGAAGCTAAATCACAATAAAGGTAGGGAGGGGGAGAAGAAAAGTTCTCTAGTGATTTTTACCAAAAAATAAAAGAGAAAGCTTAAATAAGCAAAATCAGCCATCAAAGATAGGCCTTCACTACCAACATACAGAAATAAAAAGGATTTTAGAGAATAATATTTCTATTGTTTGAATTTGGAATGTCCCCCCAAAGCCCATGTGTTAAAGACTTGGTCCCTATCTTGGTGCTATTGGTGGGGATGGAATATTTTAAGAGATGGGGTCTAGTGAGAGGTCTTTATGTCATGAGGGAAATGCCCTTGAAAGAGATAATGGGATCCATATTCTTCATCTTCTTTTCTTTTCTTTCTGATCCATGAAGCAGCTTTGTATACTATTCACTCCTGCCATGAGCAAGCTCTGGATTTGTAAGTTAGTTTTGCCAGATACGGAATGGTGGACAACCTCTGTTTTGGCACTTTTCATATATCTTCTCACTGTCTTATGACTTCCATGACTTCCAATAAGATGTCAGTTGCTGATCTTACTGAACATTTCCTGTTTGATGTTTGGCAGCTTGATTATGTTGTGTCTAAGTGAAGATCTCTGTGTTTATCCTACTTTGAACTTGTTGAGATTCTTAGAAAAGAATAATAATAATTTACATGAAATTAGGAAAATTTTCAAAAGGTAATTCTATTTATCTTTCTCCTTTTCTTCTGAAACTCACAGTTTGGTTATGTTGGTATCACAAGTCTCTGAAGTTCTCCCGGCTCATTCTACTTCATTTTTTTGTCTGTTCCTCAAACTGAAAAATCTCAATTGCCCTGTATTCATGTTTGTTAATTCTTTCTTCTGCCAATTCAAATCTACTATTGAGAACATATAAGAATTTTTTTCTTTTCAGTTATTATAATTTTCAGTTCTAGAATTTCTATTCCATTATTTTTTTACATTTTATCTCATTATTTATATTCTCTATTTGATGACTCATTATTCTCATACTTTCCTTTGATTCCTTATACATGATGTCTTCATTATAATAGTTGATTAAGTCTTTGTGTAGCAAATCCAACATCTGGACTTAGAGAATTTTTATTGATTGTTATTTTTTATCCTATGTATTAGCCATATATTCTTGTTTCTTTATTTGCCTCATAATGTTTTTCTGAAAACTTACTATTTTAAATAATATAATGTGGTAGCTCTGGAAATTAGATTCACTCCTCCAAATTTGTTGTTGTTGTTTTTGAATTTTGTTGTTGTTGTTTGTTATTGTTTTTTGTTGATATTCATTTGTTTGGTGTTTTTCCTGGACTTATATTGTAAAGTCTAACATTTATAGTGTTCTACTAAATCTGGCTTAATTAGCTTAGTGGTCAGATAATGTTTAGAGATTTTCTTAAAGACCTTGAATTAATAAGGTGTTTTTTACCATTTTCCAAGGAATGCTGTGTTAAAATTGTACCATGCCTTTAATGCTCAGGCAGGTGACTTGTAACTCTGTCATGGCCTTCACTTCCTGTTTTCATAGAGCCTCTAGGTCAACTTGGGATCATCTTAGGTATTTTCTGATTACATGCATAACTCTCTACATGTGTGTAGCCTTCTAAGTCTATGGAAATATATTGGAACTTTGTAAAACCCTCTATGGACATCTCATTCTCTATGTCTTTGTTTTACATTTTTACCAGCTTTTCGTTTACCTCAATTGGTATAGCTGTTTCAGAAAGCTGCAATGTTAAACAATTATCATAAATTGCTTTCAACAAACACCCTGGAGATAGGACTTTTCCTATTGTGCAAACTCTGAATTTGGTCAAATAATAACCAGCCTCTGAATGGGACTTTTCCAGATATGTTATAGACAATTATCTGGGAAGGAAGCTTTTTGAATAGCTCTGAACTTATGCTGTCTATTAGATTGCTGGTTTTCATAACTGTTGTGATTTTTAAAACTATTGGATTTCAAAGATACTGTAGAAATGGAGAGAAGAAGATAGGAATAGAGCAAGCAAAAACACCATAAATATTGTTGTTTATTATTGAGATTCCTCTATTTTTCTTGAATAAATACCCTTAAGATACTGTAAGCATTTTATTAATTTCCAGAGTTCTGAAAAAGTTGAATTGACAGGGGTTTTTTTCAGTGTTTTAGTTTCTTTTACATAAGAGTGAAGTGTTAGAGGTTCCTACTCTGTGGTTCACAATCTCCCCCAACCCAAGCTATATATAGCTTTATATTTAACATGAATGAAAGTTTTTGATATACATCAATAATGAAATACTACATAAATTATGATATATCTCATATAACAAAATCTTATACCACTGCTGCCAAAGAGGTAGAAAATGGAAGTTTTATGAAAGCATGAGTGATAACTGAAAAAACATTTTGTATAAAAATATATATTCTTTGAGTGTGTGTGCATGTGTGTGTATGTGTGGATGCCTGTGTGTGATCAAAGGGGAAGACCTGATACTAACTCATTTTACTATTAAGCACATAGTATTTCGCTCTTGGGAGTGGGTGAGCCTGGAGCACACAGTAAACAAATCAACTTTTAAATCTAAGTCTCCTAAAAAAGAAAATATGAAGAAATTTTATTTCATTGCTTGTGTTTTTATTCTCCAAATTTACTCTGTATTCCTTTTGAAATAAATGATATTTAAGAAATATCTCAACCACCTCAAGATCTTACTTGATCTAAAATGTTTCAAATAGGTCTCACTTAATTTGGGAAACCTTACTGTCAAAGCATTCACATCCATTTCCCTTTTCTATTGAACACTGAGTAGCAGCACACACACACCTAAATTTCAGTAGCAAATACTTTGAGTGGTGAGACAATTGTAGTAGGACCCCCCTTGAAAATCTCATTAAAAACCATGTATTGTCTTTCCAGAAAAAAAGTACACATTCACACTCTTTTTACACACACACACACACACACACATACGTGTACATACAATATTTGGTACCAGGGATTGAACCCAGAGATGTTAAACCACATCCCCAACCCCCTTTTTAAAAAATTTTTATTTTGAGTCAGGGTCTCACTAAGTTGCTTAGGGAGGCTGGCTTTGAACTTGCAATCCTCCTGCTTCAGACTCACAAGTCTCTGGGATTATAGGCATGCACCACCACACCCAGCGTTCATAATTTTTAAGCATTCTGTCAATGCTTGTGAATGTGTATAAAGAGCATATCTTCACACTATGAAACACATAAAGACAGGGCAAAGATCTGGTAACTTCAAAGCTCATACATATACAGAGAGGGGGAAAAAACCTAGAGGGGGAGTGTCTTTCTCAAGGTCTTTCTGTTATATGGTAACAGATATGAGCCACATCCAGGTCTGCCAACTTCCAGGTCAAGTTTATTTCCCAAGTTACCCAGAATCATAGAACAAATGATGGTTTTCTTTAGGTGCTTTAAAACCTTACAGGCCCTGTGCTGGAGACAAACTCTCATTATTGTGGTTTCTCTATCTGTCTCTGACACTCAGAGCTGATTCCAAGAATCCTTGGAACAAGAAAGAGGGAAACCTGTTCCATCAGCCAATGGGCATTTACAAGATGTAAGTGGTTCCTCTGTGCCCAGCCTGATAAGAAGTACCAAGGGGTCACAGTGAAAGCCCAATGTACAGGACATACAATCCAGCTGTGAGGGAAGGAGTAGGTCATAACACAGTTCTGAAGCAACCAAGTGATGCGTGGAATATAAACACCAGTCCAAGAAAGGAGAATGGAGAACGTGGCACAGTATGGATACAAAGCAGACTTCAAGGAAGAGGAAAGGGAATCAAAGGTTGAATAGAAATTGGGGAAAAGAATGAGAGGTGTGTGGGGAGAGAGGAGGGAATGAGCACCGTATAAGCAAAGGCAAGAAGAAGGGAAGAAGTACAGGTGGAAACAGGGGGTCGAGTGTAGCACAAAGGGTGTGAATGGCTTTCTCACATACATACCTAGCCTGGAGGATGTCTGCATTCTGCAGCACCAGCTTAGGTGTTCCTGTCCCTGGGCCAGCCCAGAAGCTAACGTGTCTCTCGTGTCCGTTTGCATCTCCACAGCTACCATTCGCAGAAGGCCTGTACCACTTTTATCACAATGGTCTTGCAAAGGCCAAAAGAAGACGCAGCCTACATCACAAGCAGCAGCTGGAGAGAGACCCCAGGGTGAGTTCTCCCTGGATAACTGCCTCCCAATCTCCACTGGCACCACTGAGCTCACTTAGTGGGAACAGAAGAGTAGGCAGGGACTTCTGAAGTCAAGGCATTTAATGGATTACGAGAGAACAAACGGGTCTAATAAGTAATCCTAGGCCCCTTTATAGGGCTGGAAGGGAAGAAAACAAGGACACCACCCCTTCCCTGGCTGTCCTGTCCTCAGTTTTTGTGTGAGAATTCTGGGTTGCACAGGAATATGTTTTGGCCTGTGGTGAATGGGAAAAACACCAAGAAGTTTAAGGAGTTTATTGAAAGTTTCTACTGATGAATCCACATGCTTTGCAGAGATTGCCATCACCCATATTGTGAGTGGGCCAACAGACAATTGGCTCTCCCAACCGGTGGTGGGCTCCTTGGTATCCATGCATGGTTGCAGTAGACACTAGACCATTTCAGACTTTCTTTCCAGCCCGTATTTTCTCACACCAACCTAATCTACCATGGTATCTCAACTTTCTGCTTGATGCTCATGACCCCAACTTTTGTTTTTGTTTTTTAATCTTCAATCTTTATCTTACTCTTAAACTCCAGGTGTCATGTCTACTTCCTCCAATAGCTCAAGCTTGACTTTCCCCCAACCAAATGTACCATCTAAGTCACAAGGCAGCTCCTCTCCCAGTGTTCTTGCTTGCTGCTTTTCAGAATAGAAACTTGGATCATCACTGTGCACTGATCCAAATGAGTAGATCTGATTTCTCTTAGGCAACTTACAAAGACAGAAAGTAACACCCAAGGCATGTTGCTTTCTATACATTGAAGGCAAAGTAACCTCTTTCCCAGGACTCTTGGGAAAGAGCTGGTGGAAAGTGGGTCAGATGTTTGAGTCAGAAATTTGCAGATGAGAACTCTTTTGAACAAATGGAATCTGGAAACTCGTTCTTGTGTGACTTTTCATGTGAACATTTTTTTTCCTGCATTTAATTTAGGCTTTAATTAAAGGAATTCACCAACTGACAGGCAGGCAATTTTTCTTTACCTCCACAACCCAGGTCTTCCAACGTGGCCTAGGGTGGAATTTCTGTTCTGAGAAACTACTTCATTATTGCTTTTTCAGTAAGAGGCCAACTGGCTGGTGCTGCCAGCCAATGCCAACCATTCTTAAGGGGTCTGTTGTAGAAATTGGCAACACTGTGAGAGCTTTCTTTTTCATGTAATAATGGCCTTGGACATGGCTGTACCAACTCATTGCCTGGGGATCCCTTGATCTTGCCTGTCTCATCTGTGAATCCAAGGTGGTCCCAAGCAGGCAAAGATCACTGTGGTGCATTGTGATAACTGATTTTTCCTTACATTTCAACTATGCCCTCTGATCTTGCCTTTCATAGCCAATTGTTTTCCTTTCATTTAGATATTTTCTTAAAAGCCCCATGGTTTCTCTTCTTCCATGATCAAAGATATGGCCCCAAATTCACTCAGAAACACATAAAAGGAACCAGAGACAGAAGGAAAGAGATGCTTAACAGGCTGAGGCTGAGAAGGAGAACTGAGAAAAGTGAAATTAAAAAGCCATTGTTTGGGTCAGAGAGATTATTGGGAGTAGGCTAAGATTTTCTTATTTCAGAGCTTTTTGAAATAATCTATGAAATCTTGATTCTTGCATTATAATGTTTTCCAGAAGAGGGGAAAATAAAGGCTGGGGTCATAGCTCAGTGGTAGAGCTCTTGCCTAGCATGTGCGAAGCACAGGGTTCAATTCTCAGCACTGCATATAAATAAAAAATAATAATAATAAAAAGATCCATTGACAACTAAAAAAAATTTTAAAAAAAGAGGAGAAAATAAGATGGGTTGGATAATAAACAGGAAGATCAGGCAGGCTTTAGTAATTTTAATCAATGGTCTTTCTTTTCAAAACATTTTCTATTATCACTAAAAGTGCACTCACCCCCGTTCATCAGCCATTTAAGAGTCTTGGTACCTGTACTTAATAGAAGTTATCACCTGCCCTGTTCATGAAGACCACAAGAAGATAGTAAGGAAACCTTCTTATCAAGGTTAAATATCAGAGATGATGTCAAAAATAAACTCATCCTAGGAAGATAGATCAGGCAGAAAAATCTCTTAATTCTTTATAAAAAAGAAAAATGATATGTACTTTTCCCCCAAATATTAGACTGAATCCCACACCTCTCCTGCATGATGTTATTAAGGCATCAAATTTTGGCTTCCGCTGACAGCAAAATATGGCAATGACTATCCTTAAACATTGACTAGGAACAGTACAAGGGTAGAAATATAAGGACTCTTCCTTGTGGGCTTGTCAACTTAAACAAAAGGGAAAACATGTCTAGTTTGGGGTTCCCAAGCACATTTCAACAGATTGCAAAAAGAAAAGTAAATACAAATGTAGGAAGAAAAGGGGAAGGGAAAAGTAACCAGAAGAATTGTTGATCTAGGCTTTTCTCTCTTAAGTAGATGTTGTGAGTTATGCTTTATAAACCAAGAACACAAGATGTTTTATCATTCTCTGAAATGTGTTGTCTCCTAGACCTACTAACTATAACTGTGCATGGAACCTCAGCTCAGTTTCCTTCTGCCATCTCTGCACAACTGCCTGGCCTTTCTTATTGTCCATGGGCTTGTGAAATCCCCTTACATAGCCCAAGGAACCTTTAACATAAGTGCAAGATGGTCTGAGCAGAGACAGGCTCTCAGGACTGGACCTACTTATGAAATGTTTTGCCCAAAGATCAGCTATCAAAACAAGAAATAAAGAAGAAAAAAATGGAAGGCCAAGGTGGCATTTTATCTTGTTTTGACTTTAGAAGAGAAATTTCAATGATGTCTCCCTCGTTTTAGCAACTAATTTTTATGTTTAAGGTAAAATAGGGGGAAAAAACTAGAAAAGATTTATAAAGTGCTGCTTTCAATATGTTTATCTTTGTTTATCAATATGCAGGGATGTAGATTGTTTTAAAGGTACTCTCTTGTCTTTCTAATTCTTTCTGCTTAAAAGGTTAGTATGTTGCTGAGCATCATCATTTAGATACTAAAAAACAATAATTGCATCTTGTTTATTTCTGAAATATCTCTACATACTATGTACCTGAGTGAATAGTAGCTGCTCAGTAAATGATTGTCAAATGAATACATCATTAATAATTTTTCCCCAGCATTTCAATACATGAAATAGTATTTTTCTCTTCTTGTGACCCTATTCTGAAATATGCATCCAGGAAACAGTGTAATCTTCTCTCTAGCTTCTCCATTAGACACATTCATAATCATAGCTAAGAGAAACCAATTGCTATTTCATTACTTCCAAGATTGATCACTAAGAATCCCATGAAGAACCAGTTCTTGATTTCTAAAGTCCAACATACTCAGTTCCTGAACATATTCAGTCATCATACAACCACCAAAGTCATGACAATGTGTCTAGAAAGTTTCAATAGCTAAAATAATTCGAAGATGTAATAAACACCAAACTGGGATGAAATAATAAAACTAAAAATGCTGTCTCAACACCAAGTTCAAAAACAAATATTCTCCACCCAAAAGTCTCTGTGAGATTTGTTAAACTTTAGCTGGAACAGTGTCAACAAATCTCAAAGCCAAACCTAATTGTAGTCCACAGTGGACATATTATTCTACATAAATTCTACAAGGACCTGAAAAGTTGCTGAAGATTAGATTTATTTAAGATAATATTTGTTTCTAATTCTGTTGAACCCTACTTGTACATCTGAGATAATGTTGAAATGAAATATATTTTGAAAAAGAAAAAAAAACATAAATAGAAGGAAGACCAGTAGAGTCTTAGAGGAAGAAAAAGAGGGAGAGGAATGATAGGAGGGGAAAAGGAAGCACTGGGGACAGAAATGGAGCAAATGATATTCCATGCATGTAAGATTAGGTCAAAATGAGCCCTGCAATTATGAAATACTAGAATGCACTCATAGAAGCATTTAAAAAAACGGAGGAGTCACATCATTCTATGAGTAACACACACTAGTCAAATGGAAGCCAAGTAATTTAGTAAAGAAATAACCTAAACTTCCTTTGTTGAGGGAAATTACATTTGATTCAAGTATTACAAACATTTATTTCTTCTTCTTAGCAATCTTACTAGGCCATGCAATTATCCCTCAAAATCATTTTAAACCTGTTCCAACTTTACAAAACAGGAACCTCTATCCGTCCAATGGCAATGTTCCTTGTTTCCCCATCTGAAAGAATGGATGATAGTTTTGTGTGTTTGACATTTAGGAGCTGTTCCTTTTTAGCTTCTTTTCTCTCCTAAATGTATCCACATGTTTAAATGGCAGTCACATGATCCTGCAGGGACCCATTTCTATTCCTTAAGGATCTATTTCTGGAGGGTTTTAACCACTAAGCCACATTTCCAGTTCTTTTTATTTTTTTGTTTTGAGACAGGGTCTTGCTAAGTTGCTGAGGCTGGCTTTGAACTTGCAATCCTGCCTCAGCCTCCTGAGCAACTGGGATTACAGGCCTGTGCCAGCACACCCAGCTATTTGTGGAGTCTTTATATACTACAATAACCCACAAAAGTTAGTTTCATTGGATAATGCAATCACTTCAAACATTTTATACCTTGCCCCCATAAAAAACAATATTTGCAAAAGACAACGTTTTTGTTCTTTGAAATTAATTAGACATGATTTATGTTATTTGCTCATAAAAGTCTAAGCTAATGAGTGAACCAGACACTCTTCTTCTGCACAATTTGATACTATAGTAATTAATATTGTTTTTGAAAAGAGATTAATTATCATGGTTGAAGCTCAGATGGTTGACAGAGACTAGGAATGGCTTGTAATTGCTGCACATACTTTTCTGAACTTGCACAAAATCTAACTCAGTGCAGTCATTTAACTATAATTGATGAACACCTTATGCATAGACAGCTATACATAAACTCCGATTAGAAAAGTTAAGCATTGCTGTTGAGAGAGTGAGATCTTAAGGAACCCATAAACCTACTAGAGC